CCGATAGATAGGGAAAGCAGAATTTTTTTTTTCCTGCATTACCTTTCCCTCGGTGAGTGACTGAAAGAGAACTTCCTCACTCAAACAAAAGTGGATTTTCAATCCCCCGTGATTTTCACATTTGGAGGAGGAGAGTAAGGAAAAGTGAATATCTTCAGATATTTGGGGTTGGCAGTCAGTGGGGGTTTTTGAAAGGTTGAGGCTAACCCTGAATTGATGAAGGAAAAAAAAGGTGAGTGGGGGCTTGAGGTACATGTATATGTGGAGATAAAAAACAAAGCAGAAGTGTTATAAGAAGAGCAGAGTATATGGAGAAAAAAAGGTAAAGGGAGTGGAGAAGAGTGCAAAAGGAGAGCAGATGACAGAGTGGGGGAGGGCACTGTCAAGAAATTTTAAAGAAAATAAGAAAAAAAATTTTTGGGGGTGAGTTTTAAAAAGTTAAGAAAGCCCAGGGAATTTTGGTTTTTCAGTTAAACAGAGGGGGTTGTAATGGGGGAAGATGGAGGTTTAGGGAGATGGGAGAATATTTTTAGGGAAATTTTTAATGTTGAGGAAGAAAGGGGGGGCGGAAATTTCATGCACTGGCAGGGGGAGGTATACCTCTTTTTGGAGTGAAAAAGAGCAGAATGTAAGGGGTTTGGGGGAGATACGTGAGGCATTTTTTGTGAATGAAAGGGGGGGAAAGCAGCTGAACTGATGGGGGCATGACAGAAATGTTAAAAGCGGGGGGGGATATGTGTTGGAGGGTTGGTACTTTTTTTTAATAAATTTTGAAAAAGGGGGGGAAAGGGACCTGGGATTGGCAAGAGCATGTATATCCCTTTATTAAAGGGAAAGGGGGCTAAGAGTTGTAAAAATTATAGAGGTAAGTTTTGGTATACCCGGAAAAAATATACGGTAGGGTTATAATTGAAAGAATTGCAGAAGACAGAATGTGGATTGCGGATGAGCAGGGGGGTTCAGATGGGTAGGGGATGTGTAGATCAAGTGTTTTTTCATTAAGAATATGTAACAGTATTTAGATAAAGGTAGGGGAAATTTTTATTGCATTTATGGATTAAAGGGAAAAAAAAATGGGAAAAAAAGTAATTTGGAAATTAAGGAAAGTTAATTTTAAAATTTGGAAAGACAGGGAAAAAGGGGGAGTTTTGGGGGGAAAAAAAATTTGGAAAAAATTTTGGTTTTACAAAGGAAAGCAAGGTTAAATATTTAAGGGGGAAAAAGAAAAGATTTAGAAGGGGGGGAAAAATGGGGAAAAAAAAAAGGGGGTTAAAAAATTTTTTTTTCCAGAAAAAAAGAAGAAAAAAAAAAAAAAAATAAATGAAAAACCCCCAAAGGAGAGAACCAGAAGCGGAAAAAAAAAAAGGAAACAAAATTAAAAACAGAAGGAAAAAAATTTTTACCAAAAAAAAGGCCTTTTTTTAAAATGGTGAACAATGTCTTTTTTTTCAAAGTAAAATGCTTATTCAAAAGGTGTTTTTTGGTTTTTTAAGATAAATGGGCCTTTTTTTTGGGGTGGGAAGAATCCCTTTTTCCCGTAAGATGGCCCTTTTAAAGGTTTTTAAAATTTTGGGCAACATGCCCCCTTTGTTAAAATTTAAAGATGTGAAAGGGAAATAAATTTCTAAAAGGTTTGGGAAAGGGTGAAAATTTGGTGAATAAAATTTGGTTTTTTTGGTTATTTTTGGCCCCCCTCCCCCAGTTGGGAGCATTTCTTGGGGGGGCCACTTCCTCCCCTCCCCTCCCACCCCTCCCTTAGTGGCCCCAAAAGTTCCCATTTCCATACTGTTTTGCTTATTTATACGTTCTGAATCCCCACCCCCCAATATTAGTATACTTAAAATCAAGAAAAACTTGTTCAAATTTTTTGTTTTAAAAAATTGGCTTTAGATGTATTTAATTTCCTTTTTGTCTGCCCAATAATCCAGGCCCCTAAGGGTTTTTTGGTTTGGGGGAACCCCTCTTTCCCCCAGGGGTTGGTAAAAAAAAAATTTTCTAGAAATTTTTGGAAAAAAAAATTTTTTGGGGGAAAAAATTAAACAAAAGAGAAATTTTGAAAAAAATTACAAAAATGGAAATGAAAATTTTACCCAAAATTTTTATGAAATTTTACAAAGGTTTTTTTTTTATGGCTTTTTTCCTTATTGTTCCCAGCCAAAATTTTTGCAGCAATAGGTTTTCCTTTTTTTTCTACCGTCACCCTCAAATTTTCAATACCCAAAGTGTTAAAATAATTGGTTTTCCAAAAATTAAAAATTTTCCATTTCGGGATTCTGAATATAACCCACCAATGGTATGGGGGAGTGATTTTTTCTAAGCAAGGGGAAAAATTAAAAATTTTCAATTTGGAAATTTGAAGAAAAAATAAAAAACATTTTTTGTAATATTTAAAAAAAAAAAAAAAATCTTAAAAAAAAATTAAAATAAAAAATTTTTGTTTTAAACCAAAACAGGGGGCCCCTTTGAAATGCATTTGGGGGTTTTTTTTCCCAAAACCCCCTCGAAAATTCCCATATCTAGGAAAAAAAAAAATTTATTCATGAAAATGTTGGAACTTTTCTGAAGAAAATACACAAAAGGGGTTTTAAATTGTAATTTTGGGGGGCAAAATATGGGTTCATATTTTAGTTTTTTAAAAATTAATGGGAAAAAGAGGCAAAAATTGGGCTTATTTTGTCCCCCAAGAACCCCAAATCACAAAGGGTAAAAAAATTTGCTTTTCCTGGCTGAACAAAAAAACAACAAAACAACAACAAAAAAAAAAGTGAAAATTTTTAAATTTCCAAATTTAAAAACCTTTAAAATTTTTTAAAAAGTGTTGTAAGGAAAGGAAACCCAAACAAGAGTGTGTGTTTACCACTGGCTTGTTTCACAAGTTCAAGTGACATATAAGTTGCATAATATTAAGTTTTCTGGTGAAAGTGCTTCAACTGATCATGCAGCAGCAGGTAATTTCCCTGCTGAGTTGCAAGAAATTATTTCTGAGGGTGGCTATGAACCACAGAAAGAGTTTAATGCCGAGATGAGTGTGTTTTGGAAGAAAATGCTAACAAGAACTTATATCAGTCAGCAAGAGAAAAGTGCTCCAGGATTCAAGGTAGCAAAGGATTGCTTCTTGCTCCTTTGCAGTAATGCATCATGTGATTTCAAGTGTAAGCCCATGGCTATTTATTGCTCTAAGACTCCTCATTCTTTGAAAGGTGTAGATAAAGCTACCTTACCAGTAATTTGGAAGTCAAACCAGACAGCATGGATGACAGAGGAATTATTTATTGACTGATTTAAGCATCACTTCATTCCTGAAGTCATGTTTTACCTGTGCAACAAAAACCTTGCATTCAAAGTTTTCTTCACTCTTGATAATTCCCATACTCATCCAGAAGCTGTGTTCAATGTGTACCCACATGTAAAAGTTGTATTTTTACCTCCATATACATCTTTAATACAACCACTAGATCATGGAGTTATCTGGTCATTCAGGTGCAACTACACATGAAAAGCGATGAAAAACTAGTTGCATCAAAGGACACAGGCCCCAACCTGGCAGTACCAAACTTTTGGCAGAAATTTAACATTGCAGATGCCATCAGCTATACTAGAAGTGCATGGAATGAAGTGCCCCAAGCAACAACATTAAGTGCAGCCTGGGGAAAGTTATGGCCTAGTGTGGTGAATTCTTTCACAGGTTTTTCCTCCCTTAATAGTTAGGTGCAGGAAATAGTTCAGATAGCAAGGAGATTACCGGTGAAGGCTTTGAAGATATGCTGGAAGATGATGTGAATGAGCTCTTAGAAGATGATGGAAGTCCAGAGGAAATGTTGGCAGAGATCAATGCACAGATATAAGGGAGGCAAATAACAGAGGAAGATGAGGAAAAACGTGAAGAAAAAAGTTAACATTGCAACAGTTATGCGAGTAGTTCCATGTTGCTGTTAAACTAGCAGATTTTTCCACTAAAGAGGACCCTGACAAATCTAGAATCACTACTCTGAGACGGGGTCTAGATCAGCTGATAATGCCTTGCCATCAGCTGTAAAAAGTGAAGTAGGGTAAAAAAGGGACCAAAAATACATTACAGAATTTCTCTGTTCTCCAGTAAAACCATCGACTTTAGTGCCAGAGCCACAACCACCCACCTCAGATGACAATCCACAACCATCCATCTCAGCCCAGTAGGGCCACAGCATCCCTCTGCATTCTATTCAGAATCATCGACATACAAAAGCAACCACAATTTAAGGTAAGAAATATTATTTCTGTAACATTTGTAGCCTTAACTAATGCATTAAACATTAAACATCACAACAACCAGCTACAATTACATTATCATTTGCATTTCTTTACAATATGGAGACCTAAAAAAAAAAATTTGCCTTTTTTTTTTTTACACAGGATTTGACAAGGTTAGATTGAGGATCCCTAGTTTTATTGACAAGCTATTTGCAGGTTATGATTCCTAACTTTATTGACAAGCTAAGAGCTGTTACCTACATCAGCTCATTTGAAAGCATTTTTATTGTTATGATACATACAAGTAGGGAACAGGATGAAGTTGGAGCCATCTGTGGGCCAGCATTTTCATTTGATCAACTGACCCTATTTTTCCCATAAGTTCTTTAGCTTGTTTTACACAGTTTTGTCTTAGATGAAATTTTCAAGAAGCTAACTATGTATAGTGTTAATCAGCAGTCAAGTGTATTTACACATAACCCTTAAAACTGTCTCGAGTAATACAGATCAAGTGTAATTTTATATTTAAATCTTTATAGAAAAATGAAGAGTACAGGCTATAACAGTTTTCTTCTTAGGCTGACCTTAGGAAAACAAAACTTCATGGAGAGAAAGTACTTCAAGAACTTCACTTAAAATTATTTGTGCTATCATGTCACATAATTCCACTTAAAACTATTTTGTGCTATCATGTCACATAATTCCACTTAAAATCATTTTGCCTTATTATGTCACATAATTTAACGAGTAGTTTGCAAATTCTTCTTTTTTTAGTTAAGCAATGTAAAAATAACTGAACTTACTAAATTGATAGTAGAAAGATGTTCATTGTAGACATAGACTGCCAGTGAGAGTGTCATGATTTCTTTGGCCACACCAGCAATAGAGAACGTAAGTGATGAAGTGTAACACACAACTAGGTATTCTGAAACCTGAAACAAGAAAAATTATTACCACTAACTCATAAAGTTTAATAATGACATAAATCTGGAGGGTCTGGTAATATCAGTTTAATATTTTCTAATTCATATGTAATCAATTTAATGAAAGAAAAATTTAATAAATTTAACATATTTCTTGAGGAAGAGCATATTTACATTACATAAGTGTTCACATATTTCCATTTACCCTCCCTTTTCATTCAGGACTGTATACACAGGGCACAGTTCATCTTGAATATTACTTGTACCAAACACACCACTAAGGAATACCCTCACATGACAATGTAATCAACAACACACTCACACTCTCACCAAGAATAACAAACAATACATCCATAAAAGACCTCACCAAGAGTGACTCTCCACCTCTCCCACAGTTTCCAAAGATTGAATCTACAAAATACCTCATGGATACTGCAATAATTATGTGAAAGGAAACTGGAAGGAGTCAGTTATATTAAATGAAAGCATGCATGAAACAAGCAAAACCAAAGCACTGCTTGCATGACCCATAAAAACACCTAGGGTCATCAGATGAACTGGAGCAAAGCCCAGCTTATCACTGAATCTGAGCTTCAGAGGTGGCTGTGCCTTGAAGTGCCTTTAATCACAGCTACAAACAAGGCAGAACAGAAAGCATGAAGTAACATCTCCACTACTTTGGCCCACATGATTCATGACCACACTTCACCCCAGCCATATCATGACACAACAGTCATGAGACCTCACTTCTGCACTACACAACCTGATCATCACTTAAACTTTACTTGACATCACTTTTCTAACATGCACCTTGACTATATTAACTGTGATACTTGTCCTCAGTTTATAGAAGGAATGAATGAGGTCTCAGAACATAAGCATTCTCTAATAAATATCCTGAGTTTTTACTTGTGTGCCTTTTCCTTTTCTACCTGCTGGTATCTTATACCAGGTTTATAATGTTCAATCCAAGGATATGCAAGCAGTCAAAATGTTCCTATCTCTCGGCACAGGGCTGATCTATGGGAGCAACTGCCAACTTCTCACTTCTCTATTCAATGTGGATGTGCATATATCCTTTTTTCCCACATATTCCAAATGCCTTCAGCATTTACTCAATTTTTTTGTTTTTTTACCATACATTTTACTTACAATAAAACCTTTCATAACCAATTGTATTTAAACCCAAAACCTCTCTTATCCATGTCCCTAAATTTGAGCAATTTTGGATCAAATGTGATAACTGGTTGGTCTGCTGTGGTTCCAGGGGTGGGCACTAGGCTGAGGGACTGAGAGTAAGACTGGATGGTCGAAAGAGAGGTGAGGAATTGTGAGGAAAAGAGAGAAAAGAGCACACAAGGTGCAGCAGGTGAATGAAGTGGACTATGTACCCAGCTACGTCCATCACTTTATTAGTACAGTATATGTTCTTCAGTCTGCCAAATGTTTACAGTATAACTAGAGCTTGCAACTGTTCAATAATGTGCAAATGTTATAACTATACAGCATAGTCAAAGTGCATTAATAAGAATATAAGCAGCACTTATAAGAACATAAAAAGAGTCGTCATCTTCTTTCAACAAACTGGCTGTATCCCACTGAAGAAGAGTGGCCCAAAAAGAAAAACAAAAGTTTCTCTTTAACTTTAGTAGTGTATACAGGAGAAGGGGTTATTAGGCCCTTGCTCCCGGTATGTTAGTCACCTCTTACGACACGCATGGCTTATGGAGGATAAGATGAAATTAACAAGAACAAGAACTAGTAAGAAAACAGAAGAAAACCCAGTGGGGTGTGTATAAATATTCTTGTATTACATGCATGTGTAGTGTGACCTAAGTGTAAGTAGAAGTAACATTAAAATGGTATAAAATACCGACAGGTTGTTAGGTAAGACACATATGCAACAGTTAGGTATCTTTATTTCGAAACGTTTCGCCTACACAGTAGGCTTCTTCAGTCGAGTACAGAAAAGTTGATAGAAGCAGAAGAGACTTGAAGACGATGTAATCAGTCCATCACCCTTAAAGTTTTGAGGTGGTCAGTCCCTCAGTCTGGAGAAGAGCATTGTTCCGTAGTCTGAAACAATATGGAGTTGAAGTGACAGGATGGAGCCTTATATAGCGCCAGGAGGTGAGACGTAGGTCACTTTGGGAGGTCAGGTCCCTCTCAAATCCAGCCGTTCTCACTAGTAGAGGTTGTCGAAGTTGATTTCAGGTCTGTACCAAGATACCCTTGTGTTGCAGTGTCTGACAGACCTGAAATCAACTTCGACAATCTCTACTAGTGAGAATGGCTGGATTGGAGAGGGACCTGATCTCCCAAAGTGACCTACGTCTCGCCTCCTGGCGCTATATAAGGCTCCATCCTGTCACTTCAACTCCATATTGTTTCAGACTACGGAACAATGCTCTTCTCCAGACTGAGGGACTGACCACCTCAAAACTTTAAGGGTGATGGACTGATTACATCGTCTTCAAGTCTCTTCTGCTTCTATCAACTTTTCTGTACTCGACTGAAGAAGCCTACTGTGTAGGCGAAACGTTTCAAAATAAAGATACCTAACTGTTGCATATGTGTCTTACCTAACAACCTGTCGGTATTTTATACCATTTTAATGTTCATAGTGAAATATCGAAGAATCTGGTGGAATGAAGCCAAGGAACTGATATAAAATAGGGTGAACTGGCATAAAACAGGGCAAATTGGCATAAAATAGGGAAAAATTGCCAATGCACAAATTGAGCTGAGATTGCAAACTCTGCACCTGAGTAATTCTGTAATTTTTCCAACAAATTCTGTACTTCTGACATCATTATCCTAAAAAAAAAAAAAAAAAAAAAAAAAAAAATCAATTTTTTTTTTTTTTAAAGTGGACACTGAGAACAATATTAATTTAGAGGTTTGGACAGTGAAAGGATTAATGAATGTGGCACTGGGGTGTGATAAGGGAACTTTTATAAAGGGTTCAGGATAACTAGTTAGCAGGTCAAAAGGGCAGTGCCTACACTGGATGGGTTGGGATGTTGTAGTTGGAAGGTAAAATTGGTAGGCGGTAGCTGTTTATAAAAAAAAAAAAAAAAAAAGTCAGTCCTGCCCTATTGGCATATCCAAGAAATCATACTGAAAAGTTTTCAAATACAGACCTTAATAAGCAGCTGACCTACCTCCATAAAGAATGCAAGCACAGCTCCAAACATAACTCTACCCCACATATACAAAGTGTCATTAGTATCTGTAAACCGGAATCCATATTCACTTGCTGCTATTTCTGTACCTGAAAAAAATACAGGAATTGAAACAAGTGCAAAAATATAGGTAACCCATTATTAAAAAAATATAGCCAATAATAATGAAAGATTTAGAGACAGGAATATGGTAAGGAAAACTAGGAAGCAAATGACCTTGTGTAATGTGGTGAGGTGATGAACAACAAGGGAAAGGTAACAGAGAGACAAAGAGAAGATTTGAGAACTTATCGAATGTATATGATGAGATGGAGGCAAAAATTTCATACATGTGGTAGACAGGAATGGGATTTATTAGAAGGGGAGAACCAGAAGCAAGTATGGAAGAAGCAAGTGATGAAGTAGGCTGAAAGTGGGAAGAGCTTCATGGATAAACAGGATTAGGGCTGAAAGTTGAAAGTGGGAAAAAAGTTTTAGAATGGCAGGCACATTTGTTAAGTCTGCATGAAAGAACTGTAGGAGAGCAGGAGGACTATTTTCTAGTAAAAGTAGGACTTAGACAAGAATGTGTGGAGTGGCTATGGCTACTTTACATATCTTCTTCTTTCAACAAACTGGCCATATCCCACTGAGGCAGGGTGACCCAAAAAGAAAGAAAATCCCAAAAAGAAAATACTTTCATCATCATTCAACACTTTCACCTCACTCATACATAATCACTGTCCTTGCAGAGGTGCCCAGATACAACAGTTTAGAAGCATATATAAAGATGTATAACATATCCCTCCAAACTGCCAATATCCCAAACCCCTCCTTTAAAGTGCAGGCATTGTACTTCCCATTTCCAGTACTCAAGTGTGGCTATATAAAAATAACTGGTTTCCCTGAATCCCTTCACAAAATATTACCCTGCTCACACTCCAACAGGTCGTCAGGTCTCAAAAACCATTCATCTCCATTCACTCCTATCTAACACACTCACACATGCTTGCTGGAAGTCCAAGCCCCTTGCCCACAAAACCTCATTTACCCCCTCCCTCCAACCTCTTCGAGGGCAACCCCTACCCCGCCTTCCTTCCCCTACAGATTTATACGCTCTCCATGTCATTCTACTTTGATCCATTTTCTCTAAATGACCAAACCACCTCAACAACCCCTCTTCAGCCCTCTGACTAATACTTTTATTAACTCCACACCTTCTCCTAATTTCCACACTCCAAATTCTCTGCATAATATTTACACCACACACTGCCCTTAGACAGGACATCTCCACTGCCTCCAGCCACCTCCTCGCTGCAGCATTTGCAACCCAAGCTTCACATCCACATAAGTGTTGGTACCACTACACTTTCGTACATTCCCTTCTTTGCCTCCATGGATAACGTTTTTTGTCTCCACAGATACCTCAACGCACCCCTCACCTTGTTTCCTTCATCAATTCTATGGTTAACTTCATCCTTCATAAACCTATCCATTGACAAGTCAACTCCCAAATACAGTGGACCCTCAGTTTTCGTGTTTAATCTGTTCCAGAGTAATTGGCGAAAATGGAAATTGGCGAAAACGGAAACCATTTTTCCCATAAGAAATAATGTAAATCCAATTACTCCATTCCAGACACCCAGAAGTATTAACAAAAAAAATTGTCTTTAGCCTTAAAGATAGATTTACATGCAGGGCCACTTCCCTCCTTTGTTTTCTAATGCCACTAAGACAGCTTGAGAGTCACTGAATCCCTGGTGCACAAAATATCTGTCCAGATAGGTCTGTTTCTGGCATCTCTTTAAGATTTGCCTAAAATGGGACATGGCACTGTCATTGTAAAAGTTGCCAGCACAGATTGCAACAGTTTTCTCAGGGTGATGTTCCTCCACAAATGAATGCACTTTAGTCCAAACTGCACAAATCTCCTTAATCTTTGAAAAGCACCTTCTTCCATCTCTCTTCCTCCTCCTCTGAAGCAAATACCTGAGCCTTGGTCTGTTGCTGTTGCAGATGAAGTTCTTGCAGCTCATCAGTGGCTAGCTCTTCATTGTGGTTCTCCACCAACTCTTCCACATCCTTGCCACTCACATCCAACCCCATGGAATTTCCCAATGCTGCAATTGATTGCACAACAGGTATAAGGTTGACAGGGTCAGCCTCAAACCCTTCAAAATCCTTCTTTTGGACACAATTTTCTCCAAGCAGAGTTCATCGTCCTGGAAGTCATTCCCTGCCAAGCCTTATCTATAAGGCTTATGCAGTGGAAGATATAGAAGTGACTCCTCCAGAACTCTCTTAGAGTCAATTCAGAGTTCGAGGTTATGTCAAAGCACCTCTGAAACATTGCTTTGGTGTATAGTTCTCTGAAGTTTGCAATGATCTGCTGGTCCATGGGCTGGATAAGAGGAGTGGTGTTAGGAGGCAAGAACTTCACTGTTACAAAACTGAATTCCTTAGAAATTGGTCTTCCAAGTATGGAGGATGAGCAGGAGCATTGTCCATTAACAGGAGGCACTGGAGTGGCAATACATTATCCAGGAGGTATTTCTTTACACTCAGGCAAAACATTTCATTTAACCATTCCAGGAAAATTTCCCTCGTGACCCATGCCCTACTGTTAGCCTTCCACATCACACACAATTTACTCCTGACAACATTGTTTTTCTTGAACACTCTGGGATTTTCAGTGATACACCAGTAAAGGCTTCACTTTGAAATCCCCACTAGCATTACCACTCAACAAGAGAGTTAGTCTGTCTTTCATAGCCTGTTTTGTCACAAGTGAACACTTGTTGGGGTTGGAATTTTTCAGCCTCTACATTATCTTTAAATTCTCACAGAAATTTTTCAGCCACTTGTTTGTCTGAACTGGCACCCCTCACCATGCCTTACAACACTGTGTATGTCACTTCGCTTCTTGAATTTTTCGAACCAGCCTTTGCTGGCCTTAAATTCACCAACATAAGCACTTGTTTCAAGCAGCTTCTTTATGAGATCGTCATGCAAGTGCCTTGCCTTTTCACAAATTATCGATTGCACAACACTATCTCCTGCTAACTCTTTCTCTCTGATCCACACCAACAATTTCTCCACTTCTTCAATTGTTTGGGATCTCTGTTTGGTTATTGCATTCACCCCTTTTGCAACATCAGCTTCCATAATTTCTTTTCTCTCTGCCACAATGGAGCTGATGGTTGATGGCGCCTTCCCGTACATCCTGCCGAGTTCAGCAATGCATATGCCACTATCATATTTTTGAACGATTTCTTTTTTCATTTCTACGGTGTTCCTCACTTTCTTTACCAAAGGACTGGCACTAGGAGCTTTTTGGGGGGCCATGGTGGCTTATTTAGCAGTCACTGCACAATAAACAAGTGCCATAAAACAATGGATTATTACAAAATGTTTCTTATGATCTCACAGGATATGTTCATTCACTGAGAAACAATGCAACACTGCCTGAGAATGTGTGTGGGAGGCAGCTTTCTCTGCGCGCTGGGCACTGGACAGGTTCTGCACCATCAATGAAAATGGAGGAAATCGATGAAAATGGAACCAAAATATTGACAAAAAAAGTCGGCGAAAATGGAAATCGCCGATAACAGAGATCGACGAAAGGGAAGGGTCCACTGTATCTGAAAACATTCACTTCTTCCATACTCCCTCTCTCCAATGTGATATCCAATTTTTCTTTATCTAAATCATTTGATACCCTCATCACCTTATTCTTATCTATGTTCACTTTCAACTTTCTACCTTTATGCACTTCTTTTACAACCCCATCTATAAATATATTAAACAACCATGGTGACATTACACATCCGTCTAAGACCTACTTTTACCAGGATGTAATCTCCCTCTCTCCTACACACCCTAACCTGAGCCTCACTATCTTCATAAAAACTCTTTACAGCATTTAGTAACTTACTTCCTATTCCATATACTTACAACAACAATATCTTCCCCTGCTCTTAACATTTCTGTCATGATCCTGTCAGTTCCAGCTACTTTACCCCCTTTCATTCTACATAATGCCTCACGCACCTTCCCCACACTCACATCCTGCTCTTCTTCACTCCTAAAAGATGGTATACCTCCCAGCCAGAGCATGAAATTGCCGCCTCCCTTTCTTCATCGACATTTAAAAGTTCCTCAAAATATTCCCACCATCTACCCAATATCTCCAGCTCCCCATCTACTAACTCCCCTACTCTGTTTTAAACTCACAAATCCATTCATTTCCTAGGCTTTCTTAACTTGTTTATCTCACTCCAATATTTTTTCTTATTTTCATCAAAATTTCTTGTCAGTGTCTCTCCCACTCTATCATCTGCTCTCCTTTTGCACTCTCTTCACCTTTCTTTTACTTTCCATATACTCTGCTCTTCTTATAACACTTCTGCTTTGTAAAAACCTCTCAAAAGCTACCTTTTTCTCTTTTATCACACCCTTTACTTCATCATTCCACCAATCACTCCTCTTTCCTCCTGCATCCACCCTCTTATAATCACAAACTTCTGCCCCACATTCTAATACTGCATTTTTAAAACTATTCCAACCCTCTTTAAACCCCCCACTACTCATACTTGCACTAGCCCACCTTTCTGCCAATAGTTGCTTATATCTCACCCTAACTTTCTGCTCCCTTAGTTTATACATTTTCACCTCTCTCTTACTTACTGTTGCCAGTTTTCCTCTTGTCCCATCTACCTCTTACTCTAACTGTAGCTACAACTAAATAATGACCTGATATATCAGTTGCCCCTCTATAAACATGTACATCCTGAAGCCTACCCATCAACCTTTTATCCACCAATACATAATCTAACAAACTATTTTCATTACGTGCTATATCATATCTTGCATACTTATTTATCCTCTTTTTCATAAAATATGGGTTGTTGAAGTGGTTTGGTCATTTAGAGAGAATGGATCAAAGTAGAATGACATGGAGAGCGTATAAATCTGTAGGGTAAGGAAGGTGTGGTAGAGGTCATCCTCGAAAAGGTTGGAGGGAGGGGGTAAAGGAGGTTTTGTGGGCGAGGGGTTTGGACTTCCAGCAAGCGTGCATGAGCGTGTTAGATAGAGGTGAATGGAGACGAAT